AGACGTATATTTTAGCATGCGCCACATGACTTGACCTATATTAAGTTGAAATAGACACAGAGCTGATAATCTCGAAATGTTCTAACCTTATTTTCTCTTAAAGGCGAGTCCAATGCCGATTTGACTCCGTCTCGGCCCATAAACACGCAAAAAAGAACTTGGCCTGTATCCAGCTATCTTAACCTCACACTAGGTCAATAACCCATATATTTTGTTTCTCAACAGTAGTTACCAAACAATCAATCCTTGGTGTGAATAATGTCTTCAAAAAACAATCCCTGCTCTGAGGGGGATGTATTCGCTGATTAATAAGAAATAAAATTCGTTCAATATATATATACTATCTACCAAACACACTAAGATTTATATACACAGTGTAGATATATTTTAGACTCGTTCGTGGTTTGATAACACGCACGCATGCTTGTGAAAACAGCCACCGTAGTCAAGGATGCGAAAATTTATGCACCTTTTTCCGTGCAGAACTTCTCTCTCACATGTGTTGCATATAATGTATAGACAACATAGAGATGGCTGTTCGGTTGTCCTCGAGAGTTGGAAAAAGGGACTGTATACGATCTTCAAATTTTATGACCGCGAGGGCCAGTTGAATATCATGATTTAAATTAAATTCTCAGAAAAATTGGACTGGTAGACCCACACGATTCCTTCGGTTCGTGACATTCCTCTTGCCGTTTTCTATTGATATCGGTCTTCTGCTCCATTTTGCTTCACAGTTATTCTCAAAGAGCGCAGTATGTTGCGTTGTAAGACTTAACAAGTTGACGTCAGTTTTTCATGCGTCTGTCCTGTTATTAATCATGAATTTCGTCATAACATTGTCAAAGTAGCTGTGGATCCACGAGGCGATAGCCTTGTGGATCCGCAAACTGATCAAACGCAGGAAAAATTGACTTCAGATTGTTTTTTACGATCAAAACAAATTGTCAAATTGTCTCCTCTCGCTCGTTGACGCATCACATAAGTTATAAATGCATCTGTCTGTCCGTTTATTGACAATGAAAATGAGAGCGCGAGAATTTCTGCAGATATCACAATTTTTTTTTGAAAATAAAGCTGAGTATATATATGAAATTTTACCAATTTTGAGGGTACGAATATTGTCAATCTCCCCTACAGCGTTCAGTCGTTCGTTTTACTAATAATATATAGATTTAGGCCAGCCTAAAAGCGGAGCTCCTCAGTTATTTTTCGGAATGTTGTTAC